AATTTCAAAATTTCATTTTTTCACCCCTACCCTCGACTCCCCCTCACCCACCCCCTACCACACCCCAGAAAAAATTTAAGTTTGTTTTTTAAAAAAAAATTCAATTTCAAAAATTATTTTCTACTCTAATAAAAAAAAAGATATTTCTCAAAAATATTTTTTCATTCATAAATCAAATACTAAAAATCTTTTTCGGAAAATATTTTCTACTCTCCAACCAAACATGAGAAAATAAGTCAAAAATCAACTTGTTTTCCAGGAAAACATTTTCTAGGAAAACATTTTCCATGGAAAACATTTTCCTTCATACCAAACACACCCTAAAAGTGGCCAAAGTACATAGACAGTCTAACTTGCCCACAATTTTTATTTTTGCACTCTATCTCAATCTTATTTCATATTAATCTTTCAAAGTTTTTTTTTTCTGTACCATTAAAATACAAAACATGATTTTTTTTAATTTTTATTTATGCTTTTTAACTGCAGTTTTGCATTTTAAAATTGATGTTTTTGTAAAAAAAAAAAACAAAAAAAATTGACGGTCAAACATTTAGTTTTTTAAAATAAGAATTTCTTTTTGAGATTTTCTTTGTATTTTTATGAAAAGTAATCGGTGAAGCTGCATCAATTTTTTTTTCTTATAAAACGTGCCTCGATTTTAATTAAAACCCATCTAATTATTTTTTAAAACAATTTGATTCCCCTCCCACATAAATAACCCACGTAATTTCACCATCTTTAAAATCAAGTAAAATAATTGAAACGAGTTTTTTTAATTAGAAACAAATATTTAAAATTGAAATGGATTTTCTTAATTTAGTTTTATGTCACCCATGCCCACTTATTTATTTAAAAATATCCTTAGATTAATCTTTTTGACCTATTTTTACCTTTATAACTTACATTTTTTAGAAAATTATTAATGCGCCCCATTCATATCCACAAAATCCCTTAAACCCAATTAATTTAAAGACCCATAAATGGGTTTATATGAATTGGGGTGCCTCAAGAAAATCTAATACGTTAGAAATTTAATTTTATTCAATAGGAAAATGTCACATAATAAAAAAACAATATTTTTTTTTTTTAAAAAAGAAGATTATTATTTTTAAAGATAAAAGTAAGGTAAAAAAAATGAATTGAGAATTAGTTTTAGTTAAATAAATAAATAAGAGAGTATATATTTAAACTTAGATAATACTGAATTATGTTTGACCCTTTTCTGAAATTTAAAACTAAACAGTATTATGTGCTTAGCTTTAAAAAGTAGGATAAATAAAATGAGAAGAAATATCCGTTCAACTCTATGAGAATGAGCATTGGAGTCTTGTAGTGCAGTGAAGGTGAAGGGGAACCAAATTGTAAATTGTAAATGCCTCAAACAATGATGGTTTTCCTCAAACCATTCATTTCTCCTTCATCCTCTTCTCTTTGGAGGTATGCTTTTTCTTATTATTTACTCATTTCTCTCTTGTGGGGGTGCTTCATATTGTAAAATCTTATATGTACTAAAGGGTTTATTGGCTCACCAATTTGGGAATTTTCTTATTTCAAAAGGGTTCAAGCTGGGTGTTGAGAAAATTGAATATCCCCTGTTGTTGTTTCTTTTAATTCTGGGCCTTATTTGTTTGCTATTTAGAATTGGATTTGTATGAAATAGTTGAGAAATGTTAAATTTACCAAAAAAATATTATCTTTCAAGATTTATTGGATAAAAGGTTTGATTTTGTCTTACTTTTAGTTGTTAACAGTGTGCGCTGACCCTATCCAACCTCTGCCAAGTTATGGCTCTATTGAACTAAGATAGCTGTGTTAAGTGGTTCTTGAATCTTATACCTGATTCTTTTAGCTGTTACCCTTTATTTTTACTGCAAAGAAACGTAAGATTTTTGCAGTTTGTGCAATTTTGGTACATATATGACAATGTTGGATTTAAAGGGCTGTCTTTGGATTTCAGTTTTAATTCCATGTTGTGAAGTTGTGCTTAGCAAAACACCGTCATTTCTAATGCAGTAAATCAAATAGTGGTGAGAATTCATTGAACACAAATGTTAAAATATGTAAAAGAGCTGAAGTGGTGTGTCAAGGCATGCTGACGCCAAGAAAGTTCATGCAGAAGAGGAGGAAAGTAGAGGTTTTCAAGAGTACTGAGGATGAAGCAGACCAGAAAAACTGGAGAAAGATGATGAATGAAATTGAAGAAGCTGGTTCTGCTGTTTCAGTGCTGAGAACCCAGAGGGACAAGAACCAGGCTCTTCCAAAGAACCTTGTTCTTGGAAGCTTGGTTAGATTTAAGCAGCTTAAGAAGTGGAACCTTGTTAGTGAGGTTTGGACTCTTCTCTCTAGCATGTCGTTTAAGGTTTTACTTCAGCTGTCTTCCTTTATGCAGACTATAGCCAATACTCAGCTATTCATACTTTGCTTCTTGATTCCTTTTAGTCTAATCTGTTGTTTCCGTTGTAGATTCTTGAATGGCTTCGAACTCAGCATTGGTGGGATTTTAATGAGATGGACTTTCTGATGCTTATTACGGCCTACGGGAAGCAAGGGGACTTCAGTAAAGCTGAAAGGATTTTAGGCTACATGAATAAGAAGGGCTATCCTGCCAATGTGATATCTCACACTGCTCTGATGGAGGCATATGGAAAAGGAGGTCAGTACGCCAAGGCAGAAGCGATATTTCGGAGAATGCAAACTTCAGGCCCTGAACCTTCTGCCATTACATACCAAATCATTCTCAAAATCTTTGTTGAGGTAATGTAGCAAACTATACAACGGAAGTAGTTAGACTTAGGAGCTCAATTATTAAAGATATAAGAAGGCGAATGACAATGGCTGAACATAACTATGAAATTTTATGTGCACTACTGTAAAACTAAAATTTACTTGTCAATTGAATTGAGCATGTTGTGTGACTCGGTTAGGCTATTATAATTTGGTTTATTGATTCATCCAACTTTTAGAACAAATAACTCGGAGAAGACTTCAAGTGTGAAGTTGTAAAGACTGACGACTTGCTGTGGTGGAAAAGAACATTTGTACCATACATTGGCTGGAATGATGCTTCGCTTTGGAATGACAAAATCATGATTTTCATGTGCAAGATAGATCCAGTATCTTGCAGCCAGGACTACATAATGGAATTGGATTAATAACGATTGCTGCAATCTTAAAATGGAAAATTGCTTGATATTTATTTAACAGGCAAAAGGTCCATCTGTAAGTTCCGCGACCATTAACTGGTAGAATGAGAAGAAAAACTTGATAAAATGGAAGAATAGAGAATTAATCGCTGACTGATCAGATGGGATGTGTTATTCTTTAACATCCTGTGAGATGAGTGTTGGTAATGATTCTGAGAAGATCTGTTCATTTGGCTGAAGCTCAAGATCAAGATTGTTAATAATATTCTTACATTATTTGTTAAAAAATGACCATTAACGATATTTCTGTATGAATCTTTAGACCTAAGATTTTGATCTGGACATTTTATTTATGTCAAATAGACTAATCCAGAGGAGTTGATTTAGCAGTTCAAAGAAACACTTCGAGATGCAGATGTTGACTAGACTTTTTTGTGTCTTATGCTTCTCCATATCCTCAAGTAAGGATGTTTAACAATGACAGTACTAATTAGAGG